GCTTATTGGGTCTTTCAGAGGCCAGTCATGATAGGCCCCTTTTTGTGTGCACTCCATAGCCTCAGTAATATTCAGGCCTTGGTGCCTCCCCTTTAACTGGGTCCTACTTTGTGCCTGTTTCTGAACCTTCTTTTCCTCAGGATTTTCTCCAGTTTTGTCTTTGCAGTTCTTTAAGACAGGAACAATTATGGTTTAGAGTGTACTGTGGGATGGCAACCCCATCCCTTACTTGATGCCCTGTCTTTCTGCTAGAGGTGGGCTCTACAAGTTTCCTCATTCCACTGTAGGGAAAGTTCATTTAAGGTCCCTCCCTTTGAGTTCTGAGAATCTCTCACATCTCTGGCCTCTGGTACATTCTGGAGTGTCCCCTCCCCCAACCTCCTACCTCCTAAGGTTGCTCATTTCTACTTTTCTGAGGGCCCTCATGAGTTTAGTCCTGTCCCCTCGCAACACCTGATCATAGTCCCCTCTTCCCTCCCTGTCCCCTTCTTCTTCTAGGACACTCCCTTCCTTCCCCTCCTGTGATTGCTTTCTTCTCCCTCCAAGTAGAATTGAGGCATCCTCACATGGGCCCTTGGGCACCATAATTTATTTAAGATGCTTTATTTGTTTAATCATATATTTTGGCTTCTTTGTCAAAGATTAAGTGTCCATATATGTTTGGTTTTATGTATGGTTCTTTAATCCTATTCCATTGAAGACACCATCAAGGTGTCTATCTTTGTACCAATAACATGCAGTTTTTATCACTATTGTTTTGTAGTACAGCTTGAGGTCAGGGATAATGACTCCCCCAGAAGTTTTTCTTTTGTTAAGAATTGTTTTCACTATTCTGTGTTTTTTGCCTTTCCAGATGAATTTGAGAAATGCTCCTTTCATGTTTTGAAGAATTGTGTTGGGGACTTGATGGGGATTTTGTTAAATCTGGAGATTGCCTTTGGTAGGATTGTCATTTATATCAATTCTGCTACATGAGCATGGGAGATCTCTGCATTTTCTGAGATCGTCTTCAATTTCTTCCTTGAGAGACTTGAAGTTATTGTCACACAGATCTTTCACTTGTTTAATTAAAATTACCTCAAAATATTTTATAGTATTTGTGGCTCTTGTGAAGAAAGTTTATCCTTCATTTAATGGGAAATAATTTTAAGTAAGTTTGCAACAATTAAGTCAAAATAAATATGGAGATGAACAGAAGCAGTTACTTTTTGTAAATAAATGTACATCTACTTTGCAATTATAAAGGAAAAAGGCAAAATTAACTGAAGGTTTATTGTTCTTTAGTAATATGAAGACAGAATTGACTGTAAAATAATGTTATATCTTGTAGAAAATGTTATAACTACTTCAAGAGAAAAATAGTGTCAATTTTGACCAATAGATTGCACAATTTTATTTCATAATATATCTGTGTAAAGGATTTTCAACTATTTAAGTGTCAAAATATAATTTGCCAACAGACATAAATGGGAAGAGAGATTTCATTTACCTTAATTATACATGTGAACTTCAATGATTTTAAAGACATGCTTGGATCCAGCAATAATTTTCTTTAAGCTATCTTAATTTATTTAGATTTTAGTTACAAAACTATCAAAAGTATATTAAACTGTATTTAATATAATTTAATATACTAATATAATAATAATGTATATATTAATACATATTAATATATACTAATAATATATTAATGTTATAGTATGACATTAACCTAATTCTTTTCTAGCATTTTACATTTTGTTATATTTCAGGACTATAAAATTTCTTTAAAAAATTTTAATGACAGTAAAAATCACACACACATGAAATTTTGAATTTTCAGAACTAATCATATTTTCAATAGTTGAAAATTAATGTCTTTATTTGCTTTAATCAATCAAAATTTATATTATATTACAGAACAATGAGATTTATTTTCTATTATTTAATTCTTGTTTTTATATTCATTTTTATTTTTTGACCCAAGTTTTTATATCTCAGACTAGCCTACATATCACTTTGTATCCAAGGCTGGCTGTTTGATAGCAATACTTCTGCCTAAGATTTTTAATATGTTAGGATCACAGTAAATCCTCAATTTCATGATGTATTCCTTAAGATCTCAAGCATTTTTAAGACTGTTTTTAAATAATTTTAATAATTCACTAAAGGCAAGGCCAGAAAGACCAAAAATTCATTTCTTTTTTTTTTACCCTGCTCTATGGTGGTAGAATTCAGGAAAAGTAAAATAAATACACATGATATAATACACTTGTAAAAAGTTTCTTATTTTGATATATAAATAAACACATACCTGAAGGAAGAGATTTGGACATCATCTCTTATAGAGACTTCGTTAACATATGAAAAGACAGACTTAATAAATCATTATCCAGCCAGGTGGTGGTGGTGCATGCCTTTAATCCAAGCACTTGGGAGGCAGATGCAGGTGGATTTCTGAGTTCATGGGCAGCCTGGTCTACAGAGTGAGTTCCAGGACAGCCAGGACTACACAGAGAAACCCTGTCTCAAAAAGCAAAGCAAAACAAAACAAAACAAAAAAAACCAAAAAAACAAAAAACAAAACAAAAAAAGTAAGAGAGAAAAAGAAAATCAATGTTCTTGAAAACCAAACCAAAAGAGAGAAGAAGAAAGAGAGAGAGAGGAAGGGAGGGAGGGAGAGAGAAAGAGAGAGAGAGAAAGAGAGAGAGAGAAAGAGAGAGAGAGAGAGTAAGGAAAATTAGTTCCAACCCTAACCATGGTTATGTGTAATTGTTTTCTTCAGACTCTGCAGGTTTCCACTTAAAAGCAGAACCTTTACACAGCACAGATGCATAGCTTTGCTTTTTATGCCTGTGTATTATGTTAACTTTCCTGATCTAATCTTCTCCTTATTCCTCCAATTCACTAACTTTGTTATTTTATTTAGACATTTCTACTGACAAACATTCACTAATTTATTAGATTTTTTATCAGCTTAATCAAATAATATACATATGCATTTGTATATATATTATATATAATATACATAAGTCTAATAACTTAGAGTATATATTGCTATATTTATATAATTTTTAATAGATGTAGACTATATTACATATACTACATATATTTAATAATATATAGTGAAAACATTATTAGATGTTTCAGTTAAATAGCGTAGAAAAGCTGAGTGACAACCCTGGCTCTATCATTTCTTTTACACTTATGAGGAAGCTCACATGTTAACACAGAAAGAAAAATGTGAATGATAATCACACATATTTTTTAATATGTATAAAAGTTTACAGTGAAAATAATGTGTATCAGAAATATATATACATGTTCCTAGGATTATATAAGTGTTAAAGCATATATATCTGGGATATATGCATTTTTATGAATGTGTTTGAGTTATTTTGATAGCACGCATACATAAACATATCCAACATTTTTTTGTAAATGCTCACATATATAGGTGGTTTGATTATGCACACATAAATTATGCAAGGATATATATAAGCAGGAATGAGTGCACATGTCTATGCTTTCAAACCATTTTTTTTTTTGTTGCTAGACAATTAAGCAAACTTTTATTGAAGCTTACATTGTGGTACAGAAATACATTTCAGCTGATTAAAAGTCCAACACCAACAAAGAGAAATTATGGCACCAAAACTTCCCCGCCTGTAATTACACTAGATCACTAGTCCACCTACAGTCTCTTCTCTAGGCTTTGTTCCACACAAACCTATGCAATTTTCAACATTAGAATTCTTAATTTTATAAGATGGGGGAAACAGACCTCAAGCCAAAACCTACTGGGTTACAAAATCCAGCTTAAATAAGCACTGGTCCTCCAAATAGCAATTCAAAATAGGTGCTGTGCTCATTACAGAATCAAGACTGATAAAGCTGACCGAAAGCTTCCCCAATGAAGCATTCAATCAACACCATGTATAAAGTAAAAAAAAAAATCAGTGTTCCAACCACTTGATTTCAAACCAAGTAGATTCTACGTTTAGAAACGCTAAAAAAGTGTTTCATTATAAATACGGAAGGAACAAAACATCACTGTGTCAGTCCAGAAACTACCAAGAAAACAGTAGGAGGGCAATAAATAGAGAGCGTAGTCCAGTTTGCTCTTTTCTGTTTAAACCCCACAGCATTTGCAAATGCCCACATTTCTAGTGACATTAAATAGATTCAGAATATTGTTCATCCATTCATACATTCACTATCTGGCCAAGTAGCCTGGAGAGCCCTCCCTCTGGTCAGCCATTCATTTGATCTTAACACCATGGTGAAAGGAAGACCAGAGAACAGGCGATGTCAGAATCAACAGAAACCACGGACTCTCCTTTGAATCAAGATCTCCTTTAGACTGGTGGCAATGGCGGCACTTACTGAGGTCAGAATGTTTAGGATTAACTTTCTGCTTTGACTTAGTGGACATTCCCATCACTGCTTAGTAAGTTAGTGAAGGCATGGTAGACACTCCATTAAAGCTAACTAAAGTGCACTACACGGCCTGTCATTTCCATGGAGTTTTCTTTTTTAATGGGTTCTCCTTGCTCATCACCCCAGAGACTGAATTCTTTTCACTTGATACATTCAGTTTTGTCATTTATCTTCCACAAAAGTTCATGCCAATAAGAAGGCCACATTCTTATTATGTCTTAGGAAAAAAATTAAGCAAGGGACCATTTTCCAAACTCATCTGGGGTGTAAGATTATAATAAGCCCACAGTGTAACAGTATATTGCTTCATCAGGGGTGGTAAAAAAAAAAAAAAAACATAGGACTGTAAATGCAGGAGCAACTATTAAAACAGTAGAACACAAAACAAGCAACTGGAATCATTTTCTTACAAAGACTCAATGTGTGGAAGAAAAACTTTAATTGCCATTGCATAAAACACCTGTATGAAGTAAAAATTGGTTCTGAATCACATTAGCAGAGAATATGCTCTAGAAAGTGGAGGTAACCAGATGTAAAAACTCTGGTAGCAATTTAATAGAACAGTCGCAGATGGTCAGCTGAGGCTGCATCTAATGGGGACGAAAGCCTTGTCTGTGGGGGATTTTGGACGATGCCTGCAGAAATATTACGCTGTGCATAAACCAAATCGAGTCATTTTCACAAGTGTCGGAAAGATTCATACAGTCAAAGTTCTTTTCTACATGCACTTCAGTTCCACAGCAAGAGTGGCATAGAACACCTAAACACAGAAGAGAGCATTCATGCAAGATATCTAACTCCTTGATATAATAATGCATACACTTCAAAATGATCACACTATCATTACACCTAGGGCTTTCTGCAACTACAAGGTGGTGGTCATGGTCAGCATGGCCCCCAGGATCAACATCTAGAAAGCAGCCACCACCTCCTGTGTGTCTTCTCTTTTTGCGTTTTTTCTTCTTCATTTTTCCTAATCAACTCTGCTGTTGTTGCTGTTTCTTAGCAAAACTGGTAAAAACAAAATTGTAATCGTTGAACATAGCACTCTGGCAATCAAGACGTTTAAAGCCGTCAATTTTCTGGGGTGAAGAAAGCACTGTGCGACATTTAGAACTCTGATTAACAAACAAGGTGGTCACAAATTTTCCTGGCTTGAAGACTTCCACAACTTTCCTGATCAGGTCGTCATAGGAGGTCTGACTTAGGTTTGTTTCAAAGCTAACATAAGAAAATTCTGGTTCTGGAGTGATGTGAATAGTCCAATATGTTCCATCCGATTTCATCCCATTCATCGAGTAGCCACAAGGATTGAACAGTGTGGCGTCAATGACAGAACCTGGTATCAGGTCACGAATTCCACTCTCACGAGTGACATCCTTTGCAGTAACACCGTCTTTCATGTAGAACTGGTCCATAACTGCTGGGTCAAGCTCACTCATCAGAATTTCCAGGGTTTGGTCTGGCTGATTGATTACTCGGCTCTCTGGGAAATCCAAAGTATACAAGTACCAACAGTCAGAATTCATCCGTCCCATACAGTATGCTGCTCCATTTGGGAAAATTGCATTAAGAAACTCGATTTCTTCCTGGAAATTCCGGTGTGGGTACCCTTGGTGAGAAGGCTTCATGAAATTCTTACGAGAATAAAAGAAGCTTTGGATTGAGTCAAACCCACTGTAATCCCGAGCAAGCTTCAACAGGGGGACCAGTGCTTTCAGTAAGAGGGTGGTACCACATGTCTTCAAAATGAAACGTCTCTTGGAGACAAACATGCTACTCTCACTGAGTACATAAGCTTCCTGCTTGTCAGTCTTTGTCACACTTATGATTGAGCACTGCACATCCTTCAAAAGGACATCCCACTCAGATCTTGGGATGGTACGAAGATCCCCAGATCCCTGGCTTGCGTCGGACTGCTGTCTGGAAAACCAGACCTCCAGCAGTTTCTCGGTCCCTTCGAAAAAAAGTGCAGCTTCCATCACCGTGAGACTAGCGAACAACCAACAACCACAGAAAATCAACTAAATTAAATCTCTTCTCCCGCCGCTCCTGCCGCCGCTGCGGATTGTTCCAGCTGTGTTACTAAAGTTCAGGTTCCTTTTTTTTTTTTTTTTTTTGCTATAATTTTATATTAACTTTTTTTTAAAAAAGGACTAATAAAATTTTCCCGGCTATTTTCGTGAGCGAAAGTTGAACGTGAGTCTGTTGGAAATAGAGGCAGATACAGTTCAGTCTCTTGTAGTCCGCTGCTTTCCCGTTAGAGAGAGTTGAGCGAGCGCTAGCTAATGTCGCCAGCCATACTGTGTAAGCCTTTCAAACCATTTTTATGCATGAACTTGAGCAGAAGAAATTGATCATTATAGAAGGAAACAACATTAATGTCCAGTTGTAACCACTGCAGCATTCATGAGAACAATTAAATCTATTCATAATATCTTACTCTATCCTCTAGCACTCCATAAGATGAAGCAAGAGAGTTTAAGGACAGATTGATCTACCGAGGGATGATAAATTTCAACTTGTCCCATTTGCCCCTAAAATTAACAATAACACTTTCCACATTGAAGAGTCAGTAGGTAATTTTTCTTTATTCATACAATGTTCTTCTACTTCTTCCAGATGGTTACACTGTTCTTAAGCAAAATAGCATCAAATTTGGCAAATTTGAAATGCTTTCTGTTTTATTTTGAAGTTTCTACAACCTGAAATAAAATTTCAAAATCATTATCTTTTTTACTTTGTGGGGAAAGAACAAATTCAATTTTAAATAAGCATCCAATTCAAGGTTTTGCAAAGACAACTCTACTTAACATGTAATCTGACAAGTGAAGAAATGTCGATTTTCTCAATCTAAACCTGAGATTTAATAAGTATTGAGTGAATTCCACAATCTAAA